CACTTGCTCATTTGGAGATTAGCCTGATATCTTTCTCCTACACTGAAAAAAATCCCGTAAACATGATCCTATACCGATCATAATTGTCTGGAAGAGAACCTTCCTTACCATGCTTTAACAAGTGTCATTGAAAACAAAAAATGTTTTTTAACATGTCTCAAATATTGAAGACATTTTCATCACCAGGCAGGAAAGAAAATGTGTGCTTCTGCCCCCCCACCAGCGGGGGACTCTGAGCTGGCACTTAGTGCCCACCCAATACCATTTACAGGAAACTCCAGGTTAATTCTCCATCTTTCAGAGGGAGTTGACAGGCACCAGGGTGGCGCCAGGAGCAGGACCAGGAAGCAATGCCTGGGCTTCATGAGTTTGACCTCACTCACCCTGGGGTCAGAGAGCATGGCTAAGCTCCCAGAGCACAGAACTAATGGATGGGGACAGCAGAACGGGGTTTACACTGAGCTGATGTTTCTGAGAAGCTGCTTCTTCTCACCCTGAGTCCTGGCTCTCCACAATAAATGATTTGTGGCTGGACCTTTCTCCGGGCCTTGCCTTGCTCTGCCCTCACAGCATGGTGATTCTGGGATGTTTCCTTTCCCCTTCTCCAGTGCTTTGACTTTCTACAGTGTGTATAAGACTTTCTCCCAAATACAGAGTAAGAGCCTTCAGTTACCCCAGGCTTCTAATGACTTAATATGAATCTTTTTTGGGGAGTGGAGGTACCATGGATTGAATTCAGGGGCACTCAACCACTGAGCCACATCCCTAGCCCAATTTTTGTATTTTATTGGAGACAGGGTCTCACTAAGTTACTTAAAACCTCTCTATTGCTGAGGCTGGCTTTGAACTCGCCATCCTCCTGCCTCAGCCTCCCGAGCAGCTGGGATTACAGGAGTGCTCCACCACACCTGGCACTTATTATGAATCTTGAAGACAAGTACCTTCAGCTCTGAGGCTCAGTAATCTTATCTATAAAATGGCTAAAAACCCACTGTTATGGCTCTTTAATAAAAACACACAAGGTTTCTGCAAATGTCAGAGAAACAGCTTCTTGTGAAGACACTGACATTGCAAGGGGACATGTGAGCCCTGGAACTTTGCAAGAGTTCTTGATCTTATCAGAAACTGAAGCAAGCACATAAAAGTGACAGTGACAAAATTCTCATTTCTGCTGAAAGAGACCCCTACTCTCCCCTTCTGTGAGACAAATTACCACATCCAGGGCCTTTATCTTACATCCTCTTATTTTGCAGACCTCTTACCCATTCTATAAGGCACAGTTTAGTTGTCATCATCGCCATCATCACATCACCATCTCCATCATCATCACTGTCTCCATCATCATCATCATCACCATCATCACCATCATCACCACCAACACCATCATCATCATCACCATCACCATCTCCATCATCATCATCACCATCACCATCTCCATCATCATCATCACCATCACCATCTCCATCATCATCATCAGCATCATCATCATCACCATCATCACCTCAACACCATCTCCATCATCATCATCTCCATCACCATCATCATCACCATCACTATCATCACCATCATCATCAAGACCATCTCCATCATCATCATCATCATCATCATCATCATCATCATCTACGCAATGTACACTCATAAACATTTACATCCCAGATGATGTGCTAAACTTTTCAAATTTTTGAGAAGGAAACCAAGAAACAGGTTCTGTGACAACCCCATGGCCTTCTAGTTAAACAAAGAACCTAGAAGCACCCAGCAGGAATAGTGGGTGGTAGTAGAAGGCAGGTAGCACATGCTGCCTTGCACATTCTGTGTGGCCCACCCAGAGCCTTGCACAGTACCACTGGTTCCTGTTTGAGGTGCTGCTTGATATCTTAAGTGAAGATTCCAGAAGATATCAGAAGCTCTAGACTTTAGGCTTGCTTCTGCCCGTTATTAGTCCTAGGTCTGGAGTGGATCACTTTAGCTCCCAGAGTTTTAGATTTTCCCATGTAAATAAAGATTATGAGCTCCAAAGAGCACACCTCATGGAATTTCTGTGAATATAGATGATGCAGTATGTGTGAAAGCATTTCATAAATATGAAATACTTGGGAAATGGTGGTAGCATTAGTATCTTTCTTAGTAACAATAAGGTAATATCTAGCAGTTTTCAAAAACACACCATGGGCCAAGTATTGATCATAAATATCTCATTTAACCCTTGGAACAAAAAGCATAATTAACTGGAATTGGTCCTATTAAACAAATGAGGAAACTGAGTCATGGAGGGATGAAGCAGTTTGTCATACAATGTGCTATGGTTAGTATGATGCTTGAAACTGGGGCCAAAATGCTGTGCCCATTTGAATCGCTAGTGACACTTCCTTTGGTCGGGACAACTCAGTCTACCATCCAGTCATCTATACTTCTATCCCACTCTGTCCTTCTTCTAAAAGAGTCTCTTAAACTGATACCCACCCACGTAGCAACACTACCCTGAACCTGAGCCAATGGAAAAGCTGAATGTGGGCAAAAGAGGACCAAGGGGAGAAGGAGGTGAAGTTGTTGATGGCCTGGAACATCTCCTTTCATTGTAGTAGGATCTCTGTTCTGTTTTCTTTCTGAAAAGCAAGAACAATCCAGACTTTTGCAGAGCTGGACATTTCTCCAGATTTTAGTTGTAAGAATGAAGAGTTCTTTGTGTCATTTGCTCAGCACTCAGGGCCTGTCACGGCCTCCCCACTGAGACTTCAAACCAGAAGGAGATGCAAGGTCAGCCTCAGAACAGGTACACACACATGCACACACAGTCTCTCTTTCACTCTCAAACACACACACACACACACACACACACACACACACACACACACACAAAATATGCTTATGCCTCTTAAAGGCAGAGGAACTAACTGATCACTGTCAGAGAAAGATGAAACTCTGCAAGTCTTCTTTTAAACTATTTAAAGGGTAAAAAACAAACAGTGCTGGATCCCAGGCAAAATTGGCCCTGGTAACAGGTAGAGACCCAACTCTCTGGCCTTAGGCAAGACAGATCTGAGGACATAAGGTGGGTCACCTTTAGAGAATGTATTTCTTTGTACCTAAGCCGATGATACACAGCTAGACCCATTCTCAATTTGAGGGTGGACTTAACTAGGATCCACTAGTCACCTACAGATCAGCAGGCTCTGAACTGGACTCCAAAAAGTTCTTGGATCCCCAGGTTGACCAGTTGATTCTTCATATAAACTTGAAGATACAAGTCCATGAAAGTTTGATTTGAAGAGGAGAAATCCGAGGCAGCATATTTTGGGATTCTGATACAAGTTTAATTTTAACCACCTGAGACCTCTATAAACTCTGCACACTATGTTCTGAATATATGGCCTTTTCTCTAGGTGCTTTCCACTTTCACAGGACTTTCCTTTTAGCTGTGTCATTTAAGGTAGGCAGAGCCCAAAGTTTGGAAACTGGAAGCTTAAAAAGGTGAATCACTCAAGGGCACTTGGCTGTTAATGGGGAAGCTGGAGTCAACTCCAAGTCTTTACATTTCCAGACATTTTACTTCCCAAACTCACAGAGGAGTTGAGGAACCATTTTCAAGCATAACCCAACGCAGGTCTGGCTTCTGATCTTGGGTCTTCTCCTGACCTATCTGTTATGGCACATCAGTTCCTTGTCTTTGCAGGTTGCCTTCCCTTTCTTTATCTTCAAATGTGTGTCTAGGGAAGGGGTGCGTATGGTGAGGGTATTTGATTAGGAATGGCACAAAGATTCTCACATTCTTATGCACTCTGACCCACTTTTAGTGTTTGCCTGAGGAAATGGCTGAAAATGATATTCAGGTTTACTCTCATTTCAGTGGAAAAGAAATGTTTAGTATTGATGCCTGCCTTGGGCAAGGGAAGTGGTAACATTTGGTCAACTCCAAGACCTCATTCCAAGTCTCATCCTTGGGTTCTGGATTTTTATGTTAGCAGGAAAAGCAAATAGACATGAAGTTCAGCTTCTGAGTTCCTCGTTCACCATTTGGTTTTGCTTCCCAGGTGCGGTTTGAAGGTTTGACAGGCAACGTGCAGTTCAATGAGAAAGGACGCAGGACCAACTACACTCTCCACGTGATTGAAATGAAACATGACGGCATCCGAAAAGTAAGGGTCACCTTTGCTTCCATGTGTAAGGAAGAGAGAGCTGAGCAAAGGTTTGGGTGGGGCTGAGGGCCTGGGAGCTGCCTCTCCTGGACTGAAGAGAGTCAGGCCATGTGGGGAGTAGCCAACCAGGGTGCAGGGGAGTCAGACTCCTTCTGTGAGAATGTATTCCTCCATCTGCAGAAAAGAGATAAAAATCCCTGCTTTTGTCAAAGGTGCTTGTAAAAACCCAAGGGATAGGAAAACACTTTGAAAATATAATTTTTTACAAAGGATGTATACAAAAATGCCATTACTATTCCTGAGGATTTTGAAGTCAGTATCTGAGAATGATGTTTATTGATGAAGTTACCAATCTTCTTCTAATCCACACTTAGTCACATCCACTCCATTTATCATACGGAAGTCAAAGTGAATATTTCATGCATGTGTGGGTGGGGGTAGGATATATATATAATATTTTAAAAAATATATTGTTAAAATCTTTGGGATAACACTCAAAATTCAACCAGATGCTATATGATCTGCTCTCTGCCAATTTCTCCAAACATGATCTTTGATACTCCCATCCTCTTTCCACTCCAGTCATTCTTGATTGTCTTTCATTTCTTTGAATGTACCATGTTCTTTCTTGCAAAAGAGACTTCACATGTGGTCCCTCTGCCTGGGACTCTCTATGCTGTTCTCCCTTCTTTGGTCCGTCCAGTGCCTCCTCAGTCTTCAGTACTTGGAGCCAATATCATTGCCCAGGGAAGCCTTTCCTGGCCTCCTGTATTTCAAGGCAGCCTCTGCTTCTCTGTCCATGGTCTGCATCACGTGTTTATTTCCTGGTGACTACCAGTCATGTCATGGTGACGACCAGGCACCATACAGTGACGTAGTAGAGCACCATGGGTCACCGCACGGGCTCCAAAACCCTGGAAATGGAAGCCTGACTCCATTACTTAACCTGGTGAGGACACTGCACAGGTTATCCCGGGCTTCTAGTGCCCTAGTTCTCTCATCAGGTAAACAGGGATCACTATGATAAATGCTGGCCTCGTAGGATCATTAAAGGAATTAAATCATCTGTGGGGTCCAGAAGTTCACAGTGCTAGACCTGGGCACATTGAAAGTTGTCACATGACCTCAAACACAGTGCTGTCTCTGCCTGTGCTGCCAAATGCACTTGCCACTAGCTACGTGTAGCTACCTAAAATTTTAATTATAAAAATTAAAAATTCATCTCTTGGTGGCATTTGTCACATAGCAAGTGCTTCATGCCATAGATGTAGAGTACTTCTATCATCACAGAATATTCTACTGGATGACTGTGTACTCACTGTATCCCAAGCAAACTATGCCATTAACACAGGTCAAATATGTCTGTGTCTTTCCACAATGTCAGCATTTATTGAATAACAATAAACCCACAAGCCACACCTTGAGAGTGATCAGGTTGTCACCACTCTCAGCAGTGATGATGTCTGAGAGTCAGAATTTGGGCAATTACAAGTTCTTTTATTCCGTTCCAATCTTAATTTCTAATATCTATAACACTTAAGTCACACACCACACTTCACAAGATGGTGTATATATATTAATACATACACATGTATATATGCAATAGATATCATGGAAAAACTAAGAAAGGCTAAGGCAGCCAGAGAGTTACAGAACACTGTGCAAAGATCACAGGCAGAGAGAGAGATGAATGCAGAGTAGGAGTCACTAAAGGTGGTCAGATAAGTATTTTAATGAACCAGTTCTGCACAGTTGTCAAGGCAGAGGGTCCAAACAAATGGCAATTTTAGTTTCAGAGTGTCAGTGCCCAGTGTCAGCTTGGTGTCAGCTTGGAATGGGCTGTGAGTCATGGTCACAGACAGGAGAAACTGCTCTATGCTGAAGCCCAGAAGGACTGGGAATCAGAAGTTCGTCACTTTGGCAATTTTCCTGGGCAAGGCTCTTGAGAGTGATCGGGGTATCACCATGCCCAGTCTTGGGCGGGCGGTGGGGGGGGGAATCACCCGTTAATGGGTCTTAGGTTAGGGGTTGTCTCTGGTGGATTTAATAAGCTCCTGGTGTTCCTGACATGATTTGGGATGTCCATGCGTTCAGGTGCTCCTTGCTTTTGCTGGATAACTTGGCACATGTCAGTTATCAATGTGCCCTGAGGTTGTGGTGAGCAGATGGTGGCTGTTTACTTGTACAAATAAGCTGTGGAGTCATTCTACCTCAGCACTTGGACTCAAAATAAAGGAGCTCATGGCAAACCACTGCTTTACAAAATGGAGTAACTCGGGGCTAGGCACAGCCTGAAAACCACAGTTGCCCGCATCATGGCGTAACTCAGAGCAGGGCACAGCCTGCTCTCCACACACTGCATCCTCAACCCCCTGAAGCCTATCCTCTGTACCCTCTGTTCTGGAGCCCCACCTCGGCTCACTCTGCGCGTCAGACCTATCAGTTTCCTATTGTTGCTTTAACGAGTTGTTACCAACGGTGGCTTCAAACAACACACATTTATCACTTTACAATTGTAAAGGTCCTACTGGGCTGAAACCAAGGAGCTGGCAGGGCTGTGCCCCTTACTGTAGACTATTTCTTTACTTTTCCCAACTTCTTCTAGTGGCTGCCCTCATTCCTTGGCTCCTGTTCTCCATCTTCAAACCCAGTGACATTCCTAAGCTAAGAAAGGTTCTCTTCTTTTAAAAACCCTTATTATTGGGTTATGCCCACTCAGATAATCCAGGATGATCTCCCAACTCAAGGTCTGTAACTTTAAGTACTCTGCAATGTCCCTTTTGCTGGTAAGTTAAGGCGTCTACAGGTTCTGCAGATTGTGGCATGGACGTCTTCAGGGGACAATATTGTGCCTACCACAAAAGTCAAGTCTTTTCTCTGTAGTTAAGGCTTCTCCATGCAGAAGAAGCTACCCTTGTCCTCTTGTGTTCCCACAGCACATTTGACTCCAACAGGACATCACCACGCTGGCTATAGTGACCATTGGCACCATCTCATCCTCTCTCTTGGACTGAGAGCAACCTGAAGGCTCCCAGAGCTCATTCCTAAGGTAGCTCTTCAGTAATGAGCTACCTTAGGCCCACTACCTGTCTTTTCCAGCAAACCTTTGGTGTGGGGATTATACAAGGGTACTCTATGGGAACAACATCCACTATGCTTGATGCTCTTCCAGGAATGGGTCACGTCACACTTCATCTTTGTTACCCCCTTTTCTTCTCATCCCTACTGCCAAAGAGACATCTGCCGAGTCGCTTAGCTCTCATAACCCTCAGTTTCCACATCTATGAAATGGACAGCGTCTGGATAAGCACCTGATTCCTGTGCAGTGAACAATCCCTATGTCAGTGTTCATCAACATCTAGGGGAAATGCCAAAGAGTGGCAGGTGACTGGCATGGGGGAAACAATGAGGTGGCTTGTTTGTGTCTTTCGAAGCATTTTGTTCCTTAGTGTGGTTGTAAATGATATCAACCTTAGTAATAGAGCCCACTTTTCCAGACAAGTAAACTAAGGCAGAGAGGCCCAATGGGCTCCCTGGGGTCTCACACTGAGCTATGGCTGAATGAAGCCCCAACATGAGGGCCCTGCCTCTCCAGCCCTTACTCAGCCAGTCACAGCTGTGGCCAAAGCTGAGTGGATCAAAATGACCCAATCGGGACATTTCTGATGGCTGATGAGTAAGGGGAAGCATCGAGGGGAATGTCACTGCCCCTGAAAGGACACCAGCCTGTGACCTCCTCCCCAGGCTGGTCTTCATTGCGGAGTGTGAGCAGGGTTGGCGGTATCACCTCCTGCCTTACAAAAACAGGAATACAGCAGAGTTTTGGCAGAAGATTTGGAACAAGCTAGCAGGTTGCTCTTAGACAGAAAATTACTGACCATGTACCTGGACTATCCCTCAGAATCCTCAAAATGGCCTTTTGTCCTTGGGTGGTGGGGGGGAATTATTGGCATTTTCTTGTGGCATGTGTTGGTATTTCTACACAATGCACGAACAGCTGTGTGTTTGTCACAATTAAAATGTGGATATGGATCTGCATTTTGCTCTCTGGAGTAGAGGAGAGCTTTAAAAAAAAACAGATTCATTTCTACACATTAGCAGTAGACTGGATGCATTGGGAACATAGTTATAGTGTAACAAGTAAGAATAGAAGCAAAGACTTCCACCAAAGGGGCCATCTTCTAGCTGTGTGGTCTCCAGCTTCTCTCTGAGCCTCTCTGGGTCTTTAAAATAAGTTAGAGATGGGCAGGACAACCCTGAATTCCTCTCAGCTCTGACACCTTGCATTCCCCTGAAGAAAAGTGCCAGGTGATCTCATTTTTTACCAGCCTCCTTCCCCTGATCATGTGGTTCTTTTCCTGTGTGAAAGGGAGGTAGAGCATTCATCAACCCACAAGCTACCCTTTATGAGTTTTTCCAAAAATCATTACTTCTAGGAGCAGAGGAGTTGACCTCAAACCTTTTCTAGAGACTGACAGGAGCCTTTTATCTCTTCAGGACCTTCTCTCTATGAAGAACTCGTCAAGTGGAGGTGTTTTAATGAGATTAGTTGTTCTCAGCAAATAGTAGAATTACCTAGAGACCTGGTTGAAAATGCAGATTCCTGGGTCCTGGCCCCTGGGCACCCTGCTTTTGGAGAAAAGAGGCCCCTGCAATCTACACATTTCAAAAGTTCCCTCCCCAGCGTGAGGGGCTCCTGGTGCTCTGAGAGATGTTGTGAGAAACATTAGCCAAGTTGTTAAGAATGTTGGCTTCAGACAGCTCAGGATTTAAGTCTCAGGTGTACTCTGTGCCAGACACAAGACCTTGAACAAGCTATTTAGCCTCCAGGAACCTCAGTTACACCTTCTCTAATAGAGCACGGGATTGCCGCAGGTTTCAAAGAGACGATGCCTGCAGCCTCCATAGTAGGAGGTTCCCAAGAGTAGCACCAGTAGACCTTCAGCCCACATTTGTTTATTTGTTGTTTGTATTTTAAATTCCCTCCAACAGGTTGCAGG